GATCCAATCAAGATTTTTCTTTCTTTCGTCTTTGGACATAAACCTAGCTAGCTAAATCAGCCATTGGCTAGGCCATCAGAAGCCAGATAGAAGGCATCTGCCATTCAACTGTATTAGGGGACATTTTGGGGATGACAGTGGAATCAACCAATCACATTTTGACTTGTAATGGGTGGGACCGTTATCACAAAAAACGTATGGAAACGTCTGCCTTCTCAAAGGCTAACAGGTCACTGCACAATAGCGAGCAGTAGTTTTCCCACGGTCTAGCTAGTTATATTTTGTTGTAGGCTAGTTTGCAGTGGCTGCAGCAGCTGTTATCAAACTCAAATAAAATAAAATGTATTGGTCACATACACATGGTTAGCAGATGTTATTGCGAGTGTAGCGAAATGCTTGTGCTTCTAGTTCCGACAGTGCAGCAATATCTAACAAGTAATATCTAACAGTTCCACAACATATACCTAATTCACACAAATCTAAGTAAAGGAATGGAATAAGAATATATAAATATATGGATGAGCAATGTCATTGTCAGAGCGGCATAGGCTAAGATTCAAAAGATAGTATAGAATACAGTATATACAGTTTACATAAACTGAGGTTGGAGTCATTAAAACTCGTTTTTCAACCACTCCACAAATGTCTTGTTAACAAACTATAGTTTTGACAAGTCGGTTAGGACATCTACTTTGTGCATGACACAATTTTTCCAACAATTGTTTACAGACAGATTATTTCCCTTATAATTCACTGTATCACAATTCCAGTGGGTCAGAAGTTTACATACACTAAGTTGACTGTGCCTTTAAACAGCTTGGAAAATTCCAGAAAATAATGTCATGGCTTTAGAAGCTTCTGATAGGCTAATTGACATCATTTGAGTCAATTGGAGGTGTACCTGTGGATGTATTTCAAGGCCTACCTTCAAACTCAGTGCATCTTTGCTTGACATCATGGGAAAATCAAAATAAATCAGCCAAGACCTCAGAAAAATAATTGTAGACACCGCGATGCAGTGCCTTAGATCGCTGCGCCACTCGAGAGGCCTAGCCTGATCAACTCTATGCGAAGGAGATGTCGCGCTGCGTGAAGCAAATGGTGGTCACACCAGATACTGAATGGTTTTCTGATCCAAGCCCCTACCTTAATTTTTTTAAAGTATCTGTGACCAACAGATACATACACTACCAGTCAAAAGTTTGGACACACCTACTCATTCAAGGGTTTTTCTTTATTTTTACTATTTTTTACATTGTATAATAAAAGTGAAGACATCAAAACTATGAAATAACACATATGGAATCATGTATTAATCAAAAAAGTGTTAAACAAATCAAAATATATTTTATATTTGAGATTCTTCAAATAGCCACCCTTTGCCTTGATGACAGCTTTGCACACTCTTGGCAATCTCTCAACCAGCTTCATGAGGTAGTCACCTGGAATGCGTCTCAATTAACAGGTGTGTCTTTTTAAAAGTTAATTTGTGGAATTTCTTTCCTTCTTAATGCGTTTGAGCCAATCAGTTGTGTTGTGACAAGGTAGGGGGGGGTATACAGAAGATAGCCCTATTTGGTAAAAGACCAAGTCCATATTATGGCAAGAACAGCTCAAATAAGCAAAGAGAAACGACAGTCCATCATTACTTTAAGACATGAAGGTCAGTCAATATGGAACATTTCAAGAGTTTCTTCAAGTGCAGTCGCAAAAACCATCAAGCGCTATGATGAAACTGGCTCTCATGAGGACCGCCACAGGTATGGTCCAGAGTTACCTCTGCTGTATAGGATAAATTCATTAGAGTTACCAGCCTCAGAAATTGCAGCCCAAATAAATGCTTCACAGAGTTCAAGTGACAGACACATCTCAACATCAACTATTCTTAGGGGACTGTGTGAATCAGGCCTTCATGGTCGAATTGCTGCAAAGAAACCACTACTAATAATAATAATAATAAAGGACACCAATAAGAAGAAGAGACCTGCTTGGGCCAAGAAACACAAGCAATGGACATTAGACCGGTGGAAATGTGTCCTTTGGTTTGGAGTCCAAATTTCAGATTTTTGGTTCCAACTGCTGTGTCTTTGTGAGACGCGGTGTGGGTGAACGGATGATCTCTGCATGTGTATTTCCCACCGTAAAGCATGGAGGAGGAGGTGTTATGGTGTGGGGGTGCTTTGCTGGTGACACGATCTGTGATTTATTCAAGGCACACTTAACCAGCATGGCTACCACAGCATTCTGCAGCGATACGCCATCCCATCTGGTTTGGGCTTAGTGGGACTATCATTTGTTTTTCAACAGGACAATGATCCAACACACCTCCAGGCTGTGTAAGGGCTATTTTACCAAGAAGGAGAGTGATGGAGTGCTGCATCAGATGACCTGGCCTCCATAATCCCCCGACCTCAACCCAATTAAGATGGTTTGTGATGAGTCGGACGGCAGAGTGAAGGAAAAGCAGCCAACAAGTGCTCAGCATATGTGGGAACTCCTTCAAGACTGTTGGAAAAGCATTCCAGGTGAAGCTGGTTGAGAGAATGCCAAGAGTGTGCAAAGCTGTCATCAAGGCAAAGTGTGGCTATTTGAATATACGATATTTTTATTTGTTTAACACTTTTTTGGTTACTACATGATTCCATATGTGTTATTTCATAGTTTTGGTGTCTTCACTATTATTCTACAATGTAGAAAATAGTAAAAATAAAGAAAAACCCTTGAATTAGTAGGTGTGTCCAAACTTTTGACTGGTACTGTGTCTGTATTCCTTGTAATGTGAAATGCATAGATTAGGGCCTAATGAATTTATTTCAATTGACTGATTTCCATAAATGAACTGTAACTCAGTAACATCTTTGAAATTGTTGCATGTTGCATTTATATTTTTGTTCAGTGTAGAAACACCGGATTTGTCAGGTTAAAAATATAATAATCTTTTATAATTATGAAATGTTGACAAATATTAATAACATTCCACCCATGAGGCCAAAGTGGGTGCTTTTGGTCATTGACTGCAGGAAAGGGTTGTTTCAAATGGTCATCACCTGGTGAGTGGAACTGTGTTTTTTGTAATAATAATGTTTACATGTTTTGTTTTAGCTCAATCTGATTGCCTATGCCCCTGATGCAAACAGCGCATGATGACGGAATTGTACATCACAAATAGCCTACTAACCAACTTTTTCAAAACCTGGTTTGCACACCTATTGTTGCCTTAATTAGCATTTATTGGTAGATATCATAAGTTAAAACGTCTTTCCTACCTACCGGTTACCGATGACATTCATCTGTGAGCTGCTCCATGCAAAAAACAGTTGAGTGCTGCATGCTCTTGCTACCTGCAGATGATATTCCGTTGAAACTAGGCTAGGCTATGTGTGTGGCACGCATGTGAATATATTTTACGTGCTCTGCGATTGTGTAGGCTACTTTGTGCACGATTTCACTATTGTACTACATCATTGATAAATCGTATACATCCACTACACTACTTTGATACGCATCAGTGGGGAGTAATAAGTGAATATACGCAATGCCTATTGAAAAAAAGTGGGTGTACGGCATATACCTGCATATAGCCTCCATCACACCACTGGCCCTTTGTGTTTTACAAAAAGTGCGCTCATCTACATGAGTGCGCTGGTATTATTACCGTTGCTGTACTTTCAGCATCACGAACCTGTCACACACTGAAGGCCTAGGTCCAATAGGTGTATATATACAGGAGTGTATATATTTGGCCTGGAGAAGCAGTTTTATGCGCTTATTGAATGGAAGCTGATTTTCTACTCCGCTGGTCTCGGGAAGAAATTACGAGTCACTCAAAATGTGGTCTCGAGTACTACAACACTGGTTTAAACGCCCCACCAGCACCTTGAGGTATGTTTATTCAGAGATTCATATATAATGACGAGATGCTCATGTCTCCGCCCTAACAATGGGAGTCGTTGTCCCAAAGCTTAGGTCCAAAATAAGGCCATGGAAACGCATTAGGCTTATTTTAGAAAGATTTTGGTGAATGTGAAACCTCTCTCTTCGCCTCTTCCTCTCTGGTGTATTCCGTTTAGTGGGTGGGGTGGGGTGTGGCTTGAAGCGGAAGTGGCGTTGTTTAAAGGGCAGTGGTACGTTTTGAACCTGATCCCACAACCTTACACCTCCCTGTTTTTTAAGTGGTCGTTTAGAACAGCACCTTCTCCATTTAATTGAACGTTGTATTACTTGTTTTCGTACGCAGCCATGAGCTTGTGTGACCTTTCCTGAGATTTTACCATTTGAATTTAAAGTATATTTAGCAAAGTAAACAGATAACGGATCTTCCCGACTATACCTCTGTCCTCTATCATGAGAGCATCTGACCAATTAATTATACCATGTACATCTTGGTGCAACATTATAAGTAGAAGATTCGATCTTGCATTATGCACAATAATGTAAAAGACCATCCTTACAGTCATTTTACAACCTCAATCTATCATACCAATTGGATTGATGGAATAAAGCTGATGATGAACACTTTTAACCAGTGCTCTGTAACTTTAGTGAATTTACAACTGTAACTATTTTGTATCATTTGCAAAGTATGTAAATGTATGCACTCACTACTGTAGGTCGCTCTGTACAGGCCCCGTGTAGCTCAGTTTGTAGAGCATGGCGTTTGCAACGCCAGGGTTGTGGGTTCGTTTCCCACGGGGGGCCAGTATGATATAACAAATGTATGCACTCACTAAACTGTAAGTCGCTCTGGATAAGAGCGTCTGCTAAATGACTAAAATGTAATGTAAATGTATAAGAGCGTCTGTCAAATGTAAATATTATTATGGCATTTGATGGGTGAGAGGGGATTATAACCTATCACACAAAATATACAGTCAACTTGGCTCACGGGATGTGGAAAGAGCAAGTTTGTAATATGTTTCATTTAACAACATTGCGAGAGAGGGAAATGCTGCCTGTCTTTAGCCTACTCGATATTATTTACATTATGTGATCATTTTTCATGCATTTGCAACATTGTTGTGATTGTGAGCATTTTACCCAGAGTACACCGGGAAACGGACAGAGGAACATGGCGCAGGGTCGGTGAGGAGGACGCTGAGCAATTGAGGATTATATTCCGTGGATATTTCTGAGATCATGCTGAAATCCTAAAATGAGAGTGTGAAATGGTCTCACTTCCGAAGTCTTGGATATCTACCACTGCCCCTTTGATGAATAATAGGAAAACGCCTCTCAGGAATACCTGCAATTGCATTCATAAACATTTCTTTAGGACTTACAACCCCTGAGCATTGTTTTTGATTCACAAACGTCACATTTTCATCTGATTATTACATTGGAAAATGGCTGAGAGAAATAAAAGGAATATAGAGGTCCCACAAGGAGTTGATAGACTTCGAGTGGAGCATAAAAAGGTAAAACAAATAACGAATTAGCTTGCTACTGTAGCAACCTGGCTAGCGTGAGCTGTGTGTGTTGACAATGCACGCGGTCGACTGTAGAATTTTGCTAATCTTTTTGCACTTTCATGAGATGAGACATAAATGCATTCTCTTTCAGCAGGTTGCATATTCATTTATGCGCGTGTGGCCTCTTCGACAGATCATTTATCGTGGAAACTTTCTAAACCTTTTTTCTAGAAGCTTCCTTGAGCCAGCGGTCACATGTTGCTTGTTCTTGTTTATTTCAGCGTGGATCCTGGCCAAGCCATGTTGTGGAACCGTCGAGTATGCATCCAGTTTTTCAATTGCTCTGATGTTGACACATGTTTAATTATATTTTTCAGCAAGTACAATTCATGAAAAATAAACAAATGAACCATGCACGTAACTATACACACACGCATTTCCTTGTGCGGCCGGCCTACTGCCGAATAAAAATGGACCTAGATTCAACATCCATAACTAACTAGTTTCATTTTATCTAAATGTAAAGAGAATATCAATCCAAAGTGTAGGGCATTGATGACTGATGGGATGTTTAATAAAAGGCATTAGCTGGCAATGCAAATGCATTACAGGACAACAGTAAATAGACAGCTAGCTAGTCAGTTGGGAAAGTCTTGTTGTGTTACATTAGAATTGGAGTCATACAGTATGCAATGAAGGAGCGTGGAACTTTACGCTTTCTTTCAAATAGAAACATAGGCCTAATGTGTTGAGGAGACATGCTTGGTTTAATCTCTGTCATGTTAAATAAAGAATTGTGCTATGGCACGTTCCATAGCCCACAGCATGTTTCATAACTCTACCCAAAGTGTAGTACTGTAGTAGGCTACTTCCTAGTATGACATCCATAGCAAAGTATGCAGATGCCCCTTCCTGCCTCCAGGCTGGTGCTCCTGTTTATGTAAGTATATACTGTGAGGTTCAGAAAAACGTTTGATCCTTTTTACGTTTTGATACAGTTCATCTTTGACAGCTGTTTAACCAAAACACTAAAGTTCCCGATAATTTGCTTCCGTGTTGTTTGCCCCCCAGTGAGTAAGTGTAAACAACTGGAAAATGGAGGGGGTCTTCTGACCGTTTTTTAGGAAGAATAGAAATGCAAAGTTTGACCTAAATAATTGTCACTCTGTCAACAACAGGTGGTGCAAGGCTGCGAAGGTCAGATCCAGCACTGGTGAGTTTGTGTAGTAATTCCACGTAGTGACTATGGCATAGGAGTCAGACACTACCGCTCATACACACAGCATCTCGTGAGTTATGGTGCTGCTGTGCTTCTAGATTACATTACTAGTTACACCCCGAGTCACTCACCACTTCCTTGATAGTACATAGATAGATAGGCTAAACATAAGATCTGTGTGTTCTTTCAGGCATAACCAGTATACCAGGAAGGGCATGTGTAACATTTTGTGTGTGTGCCAGTATTGAACTGAAATAAAAACAACTTTGGACTTTCAGGGAGATGGTAAAAGGCGACTATGAAGCCCTCGAGGATCGACTCAAAACTCTTCCAGATCAGGTGTCCTATGACATCATGGTACGTTCCACCTCTCTTATCAAATTAAAGTTTATTGGTGGTGTACACAGATTTGCAGATGTTATTGCAGGAGCATGTATATATATATATATATATAGTGCATTCGGAAAGTATTCAGACCCCTGCACTTTTTCCGCATTTTGTTAAATTACATTTTTTCTTCATCAATCTACACACAATACCCCATAATGACAAAGCAAAAACAGGTTTAGAATTTTTTTCAAATGTCTAAAAAATAAAAAACAGATACCTTATTTACATAAGTATTCAGACCCTTTGCGATGAGACTCAAAATTGAGCTCAGGTGCATCCTGTTTCCATTGATCATCCTTGATGTTTCTACAACTTGATTGGAGTCCATCTGTGGTAAATTCAATTGATTGGACATGATTTGGAAAGGCATACACCTGTCTATATAAGGTCCCACAGTTGACAGTGCATGTCAGAGCAAAAACCAAGCCAAGAGGTCGAAGGAATTGTCCATAGAGCTCCGAGACAGGATTGTGTCGAGGCACAGATCTGGGGAAGGGTACCAAAAAATGTCAGCAGCATTGAAGGACAACCATCGCTGCAGCACTCCACCATTCAGGCCTTTATGGTAGAGTGGCCAGACGGAAGCCGCTCCTCAGTAGTAAGGCACATGACAGCCCGCTTGGAGTTCCCAAAAGGCACCTAAAGGACTCTCAGACCATGAGAAACAATATTCTCTGGTCTGATGAAACCAAGATTGAACTCTTTGGCCTGAATGCCAAGCGTCACGTCTGGGGGAAACCAGGCACCGCTCATCACCTGGCCAATGGTGGTGGCAGCATCATGCTGTGGGGATGTTTTTCAGTGGCAGGGACTGGGAGACTAGTAAGGATCGAGGGAAATATGAACGGCGCAAAGTACAGAGAGATCCTTGATGAAAACCTGCTCCAGAGTGCTCAGGACCTCAGATTGGGACGAAGGTTCACCTTCCAACAGGACATCGACCCTAAGCACACAGCCAAGACAACGCAGGAGTGGCTTCGGGACAAGTCTCTGAATGTCCTTGAGTGGCCTAGCCAGAGCCCAGACTTGACCTGATCGAACATCTCTGGAGAGACCTGAAAATAGCTGTGCAGTGACGCTCCCCATCCAACCTGACAGAGCTTGAGAGGATCTGCAGAGAAGAATGGGAGAAACTCCCCAAATACAGGTGTGCCGAGCTTGTAGTGTCATACCCAAGAAGACTCGAGGCTGTAATCGCTGCCAAAGGTGCTTCAACAAAGTACTGAGTAAAGGGTCTGAATACTTATGTAAATAATGCTACAAACTTCTTCCATTTAAGAATGATGGAGGCCACTGTGTTCTTGGGGACCTTCAATGCTGCAGAAATGTTTTGGTACCCTTCCCCAGATCTGTGCTTTGACACAATCCTGTCTTGGAGCTCTACGGACAATTCCTTTGACTGTCAACTGTGGGACCTTATATAGACAGGTGTGTGCCTTTCCAACTCATGTCCAATGAATTGAATTTACCACAGGTGGACTCCAATCAAGTTGTAGAAACTTCTCAAGGATGATCAATGGAAACAGGATGCACCTGAGCTCAATTTCGAGTATCATAGCAAAGGGTCTGAATACTTATTTACATAAGGTTTTTTTCAAATTTTTTAAAATAAGTTAGCAAAAATTTCATAACCTGTTTTCGCTTTGTCATTATCAGGTATTGTGTAGATTGATGAGTAAAAAATTAATTTAATGATTTTTAGAATAAGGCTGTAACATAACAAAATGTGGATAAAGAGAAGGGGTCTGAATACTTTCCAAAGACAGTATGGACAGCATATGATCAGAAAAGGTGTGTACGGTAGTAGTTATATCGGATGAGCCATGAATAGAATACAGTGTATATATATTTTAACCGCAGCAGTAGCCTAGCGTTTAGGAGCGTTGGGCCAGTAACCGAAAGGTCGCTGGTTCAAATCCCTGAGCCGACTAGGTGAAAAGTCTGTGCCCTTGAGCAAGGCACTTAACCTTAATTGCTCCAGGGTCGCCGTCAATAATAGCTGAGGGTCTCTCAGGGGGAGTGGGAAATGCAAAAAATAAATGTCCAATTCACACTTGTACATGTGTGAAATAGGACAAATGTAAGTACCCATATAAAAAGTGGGTAAAACAGTCCAAACCTTTTTTTCGGCTGTAGGAAATAATACATTTACATTTAAGTCATTTAGCAGACGCTCTTATCCAGAGCGACTTACAAATTGGTGCATTCAACTTAGGATAGCCAGTGGGACAACCACCACTGGGGGAGGGGGGTGGGGTAGAAGGATTACTTTTATACTATTCCAGGTATTCCTTAAAGAGGTAGGGTTTCAAGTGTCTCCGGAAGGTGGTCAGTGACTCCGCTGTCCTGGCGTCGTGGGGGTGCTTGTTCCACCATTGGGGTGCCAGAGCAGCGAATAGCTTTGACTGGGCTGAGAGGTAGGGGGGCTAGCAGGCGAGAGGTGGATGAACGTAGTGCCCTCGTTTGGGTATAGGGTCTGATCAGAGCCTGAAGGTAAGGAGGTGCCGTTCCCCTCACAGCTCCGTAGGCAAGCCCCATGGTTTTGTAGTAGATGCGAGCCTCAACTGGAAGCCAGTGGAGTGTCCGGAGGAGCGGGGTGACATGAGAGAACTTGGGGAGGTTGAACACCAGACGGGCTGCAGCGTTCTGGATAAGTTGTAAGGGTTTAATGGCACAGGCAGGGAGCCCAGCCAACAGTGAGTTGCAGTAATCCAGATGGGAGAGGACAAGTGCCTGTATTAGGACCTGGAGGTAATACTAGAAACTTTCTGAGTAAATAATGTAAGAAATAACACAAAAAAGTGAAATACTGCAAAGTTGGCTAGGCGCTAGAAAACAGAGTGACCAATGTTGGTAGGCGCCATCTTATCCAGTCAAATGCAGTAAATGCACTGGGGAGTGAGTTTCCATAGCAGGTTCTTATTTACGGTTCATTGAATGAGGTGTGTCAACAGAGTTAATTCCCAGGCCATGCAACCTTACTATGAATTGTCCCCTCTTGATCTAGAGTGAAAACACAGAGCAGTTAATACAGCGAGATGGGTGCTTCTGAGATGTTTACATGTGGTGTGTTGTAGGGAAGGCCTTATCTTTGACTACCAGTTTCTATTGTCCTTTTCTTTCAGCTATTCAGTTTCACTTTTAGTTTGTAAAAAAATATGCAGAACCATGTTTAATTGCCCTAATATATATATATATATATATATATATATATATATTAATGTATAAAATACAATAAAAACGATTGAAAGTCAAGTTGAAACTTGAACTCGAAACTTGAATAATGCAGTAATAAAAAAACACCTATGACCCCCTAACCCCCCCCCCCCCCCCCCCCCCTTCCCAATGTTGATCTCCTTCCCCTCCTCTCTGCTGTAACAGGTGCCGTTTGGTCCTTTGGCCTTCATGCCTGGGAAGCTGGTCCATACCAATGAGATCACCGTGCTGCTGGGGGACAACTGGTTTGCAAAGTGCTCTGCCAAGCAGGCCCAGAAGCTCGTGGAGCACAGGAAGAAACGTGTGTTTGTTTTGGAAGCCATTTTTTATTTTTTCAGATACCATGGCACCTTGCCCAACTCTGACACTCACATAACTAATATTATGAAAATACTAGATAACTCCTCAATTGTAGGCCTATATATTGTTTAGCAATGTATACTAGTGATAATGCTTATTGAGAAAGATTGAGGTAATGTTTTGAATGTCTTCTCAACACTACCACGGTTCATCCAGCAGGGGGGGCTGTTGTCATAGATTTGCTGTCAGACAAACCGAGAAAGAGGTGATCCCTCAGCTCAAACTCAAAGTTGAATGGCTACTTTTTTTGTGAATACTTGGATTGTTAGAATGTTTGATCTATTCTTGCTGGTGGGCAATTGTCTATGAAAAATTACAACTGCATTAGCAAATAAGTAATAACACACAATCATCTTGGTCATAATTTGCAATACTGCAAGTTCATTTCTATTGAAAATGTGGAATTGTGTCCAGAATGTTTCACAGCGATAATGCCATTGGTTGGTTACTCAAATGGATTTTGGCCATCCTCTGCAATCATTTCGTCACAATAAGTCCAGCCTTAAATCCTCCTGTCCATTCATTCCACTGCTGGCCTTTCTTACTAATGAAAAACATGAACATACATGGAAAAAAAGTGCATACATAAACACCCACGTAAGAGAACGTTGTTTCCCCTTCGCTCCCCTTTGGTATTCACTCTGCACCCGAAAAAGCTATTTAATATAGTGTCAAATGGGCCTAAATAACAATGTGTGATGATGATGGGAGCATTATTAGACTGGTGTTTACCTGAAGCGTGAATGTGCCATAACCTTCCCTGACCTTGCCCAGGCTGCTTTTACACAACTAAGTGCCATAATGCAAACATGGATGGCTGAGATCTTTCAAACAGCCCCGCTGTCAGGCCTTCCGCATTTGACCTTTCCCCAACGTTTCGGAGAAGTACGGCTTGAAGGCTCGCTGTCGCCATGGCAACGGGGCCCCTGCTGCCATTAGCGAACGGGGGTTTAATTGTTGTGAAGATTTAATGATCCGAAGTAGCACCGAGGGCGTGCGATATTATGAACTGTTTGTGTCATCATTTTCCCTTTTTTTGACTGCGTTCTGAGTTTAACCCCTTGCTGGCTGATTTTTCAGATTCCATCACACCATTTTTGCTCTTTGTTTTTTAGATGTAAATAGTGCGCTGGATGACTTGCACAAGACGAGGAAGAACTTTGAAGCCAGAGTTGGGTTCACAGAGGATTTAGAAAAACTCTCAGGCGTAAGTGTAATTACTGTGATAACAAAAAGCTTTTAGGATCCTTCAGCCAGCTTATCTGATAGACAAACTCCATGTGCGGAAAATCAATTTATATGATCAGATATTGTAAACACACACACACACTTATACCCTTCTCTCTTTCCTCAGGCTAAAGGGGACTATGTGGAAATCAGAGAAGAGGTTGGAAGTATTGAAGAAATTGTCAGCAAAGGAAAGCAGCGTGTGGCCCTTAAGCCCCACTCTAAGCCGAAGATGGAGGCTGTTGTGAAGATAGAGGAAGAAGAGGAGGTGGACGAAGAGGGCGGTGGAGAGGGAGATGGAGGGAGCAGGAGAGGAGTGCTGTCTGAGGAGGAGCTATGGGCCAGACTGGACGAGCTGGAAGTGCTGGAGGAGCAGGAAGAGGAGCGTCACAGGTAGAGTTACATACACACACACACACACAAAATGCATAGATGTTCAAATTGAGGAGTAATTCAGCGCCACTCTATCCACCTTCACACCTGTGTTTCATTGCAAAATATAGCGAAGATTAGATTTATCTCGGCTTGATACTTTGTTTCTATTGTTTTCAGACGGTTTGACAGTGCAGACACCAATGGCAACGGCAACGACGACACAACATCCTCTTCCTCTGAGGAGGAGAAGGAGGGAGATAGCGGCAGCCATCATCGTGTCAATGGACATGATGAGAGGAGCAAAGGCAGGACGTCTGTGCCTCACAACGGTGACCAACTCAACGGTACAGCCCAGTCAACCAGGGACGGGGAGGAGGAGGAAGGCAACTGTTTGCCTACCATCTATTTCTCTCATACGGTGGAACCTAAGAAGGTCAGTGTGTATAAAGCGTATTAAACTCAATGCAGTCAACATGTAGTCCATTATGTTATTTGAGCTATGTAAATCAATGTACTACATCTCTGTCTGTCTCCCTCTGTTTCTCCAGGTGAGGATAAACACAGGGAAGAACACCATGTTGAAGTTCAGTGAGCTGAAAGAACAGAAGCAGCAAGCCAAGAGGAAAAAGAAGAACGGTACCAGCAACGGCCACTCTCACCACGGGCTCCACAACATCACCACGCCCACAGACCTCTACAGGTACACACACACACACACACACACACACTACAGGCTACACATCAGTCATAAAATGTTTGGTTGGCATAAACCTTTAGGCAACATTTTGGATCAAATGTACAATTGGCTTATATGAAATGTTGTTTACTCTGAATGTTTCCAGATTTCTTTGTTCTGATTCAGTATGGTGTCTGTCTACTTACAGGTTCTGTGCTCCGATTGGGTATAATGGTTGACTGGGTCCATGTCTATTAACAAGTTCTGCGATCTGATTTGGTATAATGGCTGACTGGGTGTATGTTTGTGGCCTTTTGTCAGGTTGTTTGTGGATGTGAAGAACGGCGAGCCCATCCCCAGGAAGTCCATCCTGAAGTCCCGGAGCAGAGAGAGCAGTGTGTGTAGCGACACCAGCGAGAGCAGCGCTGCTGATTTCGAGGAGCGCCGGACGTTCGGACGCACTCTGAGCCATGACGAGAACACGTACAGCGACACCAGCGACGGCATCACGGAGGAGGACAGCCCCACCGGGGTCCCCCTACACCCCACCAGCCGCTTCCAGGTAAACTCAGCTGGTCCTGACTTTCCAATACTCTGGCAATATTCTAATAATGTAAAGATCTTCAATTCAGTTCCAACAACTTTATTTGTCCCCTTAGGCCAATTCTTATTACGACTACAGCAGCGCTTCAGACGCATACAACAAACCGGCACAGATACAATAAATAGAAAAGAAACATGAGAGATAATGATTTAAATGTACAGTGCAAAACATAAGATAATCAGTACAAAACATATACAAGAGACAGGGGTGATTAGTTCACATTGAACAGCAATGTCTTTGAACTTTGAATGTTAAATAAATGCATAGAGCAGGAGTGGTCTATGTCCTCCCAAGTTTACAGTGTCACATTAACCTCCATCTTATTCTTTGTCATTGATCCAGGCCTTTTCAGGCACAGTGGTTGAGAAGGAGCCCATTCCCTCGTCGATCCCTCAATTCACCATTGCTCTGCAAGCGCTGCCCACCATCCCAGAGAGGAAGCTGGAGGAGGTGGCCCCCGAAGCCCCCCAGGAGGCCCCCAAGAGGGTGTCCAAGTTCAAAGCTGCCCGGCTGCAGCAGAAGTGACCCAGCAGAGCCAGTCTCCAGGATCCACACTACTGGCTCCTTTTTTAACATTGATTTTCTACACCTACACTTTTTTGAGTCGGACAGACCGTGAACACACACTATGATCTGCCATGGCTCTTATTTTTTGCATCACTCGTCAAGCCTCACTTCTTCTCTTTGATAACGCTTTTCCTGTTAGTACACATGGTTTCTATTGCAATATGGCTATTCTGTAAGAGGCAGTACTCTGTAAGAGTAGCATAACATAGTTGAGAAGGCAACCCAACGCCCTCACGCTTAACCATTTACCTGCCTTGTATAATGGAACATTAAGCTTTTTAGCTATGAACCCCGTTCTTTATGAGTTAGTACTTCACTGCAATATGTATTTAAGTAAAGAGGTAGTTTATTTAGAACCCTCGTCCTCCAACATTATGGCACTACACTAGTCAACACTGCCTAGGTGCTCATTTTATGGTGGTTGGTCTTGTCAGTGTCTTGACTATACTCTGTGACAAGGCCAGTGGTTTACCACTCTATTAATTGTTTGATCCATGATTTTGCCTGCTATGCTAAGACGACATACTCTGCATCATTGAATTTATTTTTGCCTTTTCCTTTCTTAATTATTCTACACAGGGTCAGATGCTAACTACCCTGTATTGCCCCAATCCCCTTGTACCTGCCTATTGAATGTATGTCCACCTCTGTGACCAGCTTTATGTGAAAAATAAATATTGTTGTAAACTGGAATGAAAATAAAAGATTTTTGGACAAAGTCAAGTGTTACTCCCCTTTGGGTAGATTTTCTCAAACCTTATTTCCAATCCTCACTAAAGGACAAGACAGACCAACAGAAAAGTTGTCAGTGCACAGTAGAAAACCTGCTGTGTGTCAACTATTCAACATGTACAATTAAAAATGACTTGTCAACTATATTTTTGCACGCCCTCTTCAGATGGCTGCTGGGTCGGCCGGAAATTCTGCATCAGTGAACTCCATACTTCCGGATTCGCTGTAATTAATGTTGCACCTTGTGAGTTTGAAAGGCTATCAGTAGCTGCTCGCTAAGTAGCGAGAGTGCAGGGTTCGATAAGCAGCTTTTAAACTGGTCCTTAGGTGATTCCCCCTCGTCAGGATTAGGGCTGCAAGAGGAAAAATCTATCCAGGTAGCATGAGACAGATTAGTTGATGCTTAACATGGTTAAGCGCTGGCTAGACACAGATCATTGGACTTAAAAACCTAAGCTTTGAAGGTATATGTTGGAACATATACTTAACATTTCATAGAGATCTAGAGGAACACGTTAATAATCTAAAACAACAGAGAGATCTACATTGCAGGGTTTAAAGGGAATTTAAGCGTTCGGTCATTTAGAATCTCCTTGCAGGTATTGTTGACCAGACAGATGCTCAGAGAAGAGGCTCTTGCTCCCAGCTACAAATATCATGGGGCATTAAACTGTTCCTTGCTGTACACCTAGGCTGGTTTCATGGACCCAGATAAAGCCTACTCCTGTACTTAAAACCATGTTCTATAGAGAATTGCTGCTATATAATTTTGTTGTGCTTAATCTTGGTCTATGAATCATCCCCTGAAGTATTAAATCAACCTGTCTATACTGTAAGTATGCACACACTCACATGTTCTTGAATCTATTTAACATTCATACAATCTTAGGTCAAATAGTTCATTTAAGAGAAAGACCTCTGTAAATGGTGTCAGGGTGCACCAGCAGCTAACAACAACTAACCTCAGTACATTGAGACTATACATTTTATATAATAAATAAGTAGAATGCCTGAGGATGTATGCACAATATGTGCATATATTGTGAGTGTGGTTATTGTATAAATAAACTCCCTCTCTCTATTTGAAAGTAATCCAGTGGGAAGGTCATTGGGATGACAGCAGTGTGATGGATGTTACAAGCACCCAATTAAGATTTCTGAAAAGAAGCCTGTGAGTGCTCTAAGCACTTATACAGCTGAATCACAAGTCAGAGCTTTCCCCGATGCCCTGAAACAATTGCAAAGCAAATCCTGCATTATTCATTTTGTTTTACAAAGGGTCAGAGTGGCTAAAATCCTCATTATAAATATTTGGAGAAGAGAAGATCTTTGGTCACAGGGCTACTTTTTGGATATTGACTTATTACATGGGTTTAAGGAGCAGGGCACACACACACACGCACGCACGCACGCACGCGCACACACACACACGCACACACACACACACACACACACACACACACACTCACACACACACACACACACATCTGGAGAGAGCAAGATGACAAGGTGGTGGGCCATATATCACAGTCGCACCAAACCTCTTCCTGTGTCTGTCACAAGAGGTTGCCTAAAATAAACTAGGCCAGGCCTCCTAAATGTGACGTTTTTACAGTGCAGAAATTAACAGAATGTTGGTGCATGGTGAGTGACAAGGCCGAATTTAAAAGAACCCACTAAATTGTGACGTTTTTACAGTGCAAATAATTTACAGAATGTTATGTGCATCATGATGACTAGGCCGAATTTAAATAAAAGGAGTAGTTGATAATCTTGGATTTGGAGACGCAAATAACCTATGCGTAATTTACACAGGAACAGGAGGCCTACAATGCTTGCCACCTACCAGATGGGGGAGTCCACGCACATCTCGAAGTGGTCATATCCCCTCCTTCCCACAGAAATTAAACTATAAGCTCATATGCTTCCATACTTCATTTCGAAAGCATGCGTCAATAGTTGAAGGATGTTGAAGGAGATCTGATTTGATTGTTACCCTTTAGCGCAGTATCACGGAAAAGTCAGACACAGTTTATCACTCGTCACTGACTGAACTCAAGCTGTACTTCGAGTCCAATACGCACTGGAGTCTTACACCCTCCGATCTGAATGCCCAGGTAAGGAAATGTATATATAAAAACATATTTCTCATCTCCTGCAACTCTAACTTTCAGTTTCTCCGAATGCTGATTTCTCTGAATAATATGGTTTCTCGGAATAGATTTGTGTGCATGCTTAAGCGCCTTATAGTGAGATTGGCTGCCCCTGGTAATGCCAATGACAGTAGGCTATTAAGTGAAGGGAACTTGGGAAATATCGTTAAAAACTAAGTAAAGTATAAGATAGTGTAGGCCTATGTATAGTGAATGTTTCATAAGTCATGTTGAATGGATAGAATAGGATTGGTGTATGGTGGTTGAATAGCAGGTCCTTATGCATGTCAAAATACACTGTTTATAGGCTGATGTCTTTTTTTTATCGCACAGTGTGATATAGTGTAATGACAGCCTACTGTGATCTTTGCATCCAAGATAATATGTTGCAGTAAATACTAATTTCAATACACCACATATCAAGTGATCCACAGTAGTAATTGGGTTGAGGGCTGTGGCTGAAGGACTGTTGGATGTATAGATGTTTTATCAAGGGTGTTTGTCAGACTTCTCCATAATATGTATAATAATGTGTGTAATGTGAATGGTGATCCACAGAGGTTATGTGAGTGTGTACAGTAAATACTTTGATAATAGATAATCTCTAGTCACTGTCACCTGGATAGAGAGGTGATGGTTGAAATACCCCCTACCCCCAGCCCTCACCTACACCCCCCCAACCCACACCACCCCTATCTGATATATGATACCCCATCTGTCATACAGTGCCTTGCAAAAGTATTCATCCTCCTTGGCGTTTTACCTATTTTGTTGCATTACAACCTGTAATTTAAATTGATTTTTATTTCATGTAATGGACATACACAAAATAGTCCAAATTGGTGAAGTGAAATGAAAAAAATAAATAACGGAAAAGTGGTGCGTGCATATGTATTCACCCCCTTTGCTATGAAGCCCCTAAATAAGATCTGGTGCAACCAATTACCTTCAGGAGTCACATAATTAGTTAAATAAAGTCCACCTGTTTGCAATCTAAGTGTCACATGATCTGTCACATGATCTCAGTATATATACACCTGTTCTGAAAGGCCCCAGAGTCTTCAACACCACTAAGCAAGGAGCATCACCAAGTAAGCAGCACCATGAAGACCAATAAGCTCTCCAAACAGGTCAGGGTCAAAGTTGTGGAGAAGTACAGATCAGGGTTGGGTTATAAAAAAATATCAGAAACTTTGAACATCCCACGGAGCACCATTAAATCCATCATTCAAAAATTTAAAGAATATGGCACCACAACAAACCTGCCAAGAGAGAGCCGCCCACCAAAACCCATGGACCAGGCAAGGAGGGCATTAATCAGAGAGGCAACAAAGAGACCAAAGATAACCCTGAAGGAGCTGCAAAGCGCCACAGCGGCGATTGGAGTATCTGTCCATAGGACCACTTTAAGCCGTACACTCCACAGAGCTGGGCATTACCGAAGAGTGGCCAGAAAAAAAGCCATTGCTTAAAGAAATAAATAAGCAAACACGTTTGGTGTTCGCCAAAAGGCATGTGGGAGACTCCGCAAACATATGGAAGAAGGTACTCTGGTCAGATGAGACTAAAATTGAGCTTTTTGGCCATCAAGGAAAATGTCTGGCACAAACGCAACACCTCTCATCACCCCGAGAACACCATCCCCACAGTGAAGCATGGTGGTGGCAGCATCATTACATTTACATCATTTAGCAGACGCTCTTATCCAGAGCGACTTACAGGAGCAATGTGCTCAAGGGCACATCGACAGATTTTTCACCTAGTCGGCTCTGGGATTAGAACCAGTGACCTTTCGGTTATTGGCAGAGTGCTCTTAACCACTAAGCTACCTGCCGCATCATGCTGTGGGGATGTTTTTCATCAATTGAAGGAACGATGAATGGCGCTAAATACAGGGAAATTCTTGAGGGAAACCTGTTTCAGTCTTCCAGAGATTTGAGACTGGGACGGAGGTTCACCTTCCAGCAGGACAATGACCCTAAGCACACTGCTAAAGCAACACTCGAGTGGTTTAAGGGGAAACATTTAAATGTCTTGGAATGGCCTAGTCAAAGCCCAGACCTCAATCCAATTGAGAATCTGTGGTATGACTTAAAGATTGCTGTACACCAGCGGAACCCATCCAACTTGAAGGAGCTGGAGCAGTTTTGCCTTGAAGAATGGGCAAAAATCCCAGTGGCTAGATGTGCCAAGCTTATAGAGACATACCCCAAAAGACTTGCAGCTGTAATTGCTGCAAAAGTTGGCTCTACAAAGTATTGACTTTGGGGGGGTGAATAGTTATGCACGCTCAAGTTTTCTGTTTTTTTGTCTTATTTCTTGTTTGTTTCACAATAAAAAATATTTTGCATCTTCAAAGTGGTAGGTATGTTGTGTAAATCAATTGATACAAACCCCAAACAAAACAATTTGAATTTCAGGTTGTAAGGCAACAAAATAGGAAAAATGCCAAGGGGGGTGAATACTTTCGTAAGCCACTGTATGTGAGCTAAAACAGTCCA